CAGTTATGGCCCCTGAATACTTTTCCAGTATTCTTGAGTACTTCCTGGGTGTGTTTAGGGGTCAGTAGTCTCCTTTCCTTTTTTTTTTTTTTTTTTTGTCTTTTTGAGACAGGGTCTCGCTATGCAGTTCAGGCTGGCCTTGAGCTCACTTTGTAGCTAGGCTGGTTTGAACTCGCAGTGATCCTCCTGCCTCAGCCCCCTACCCCAGTACTGGGATTATAGGTGCCCCTGGCGTTAGCAGTCTCCTTTGTCTGGCACTTCCTTTTTTGTTGTTGTTGTTTTTTTTCCGGTACAGGGAATCGAACTCACGACCTTGTGCTTGCCAGGCAGGCGCTGTGCCGCTGAGCTAAATCCCCAGCCTCTACACTTCCTTCTTTTCGAAAACGTTTTTTCACGTGGTGTTGGGGATCAAACCCAGGGCCTTGCTGGTGCTATACCCGCAGTCCTTACACCCTCCTTAGAGCCTCTGACTTGTTTCTCCCTCGCCTTCCCGCCGTCTCTTGGGTGATCCTTTGTACTTTTCCTGCTCTTTCCCCCAGAGGCAGATATGGCAGACTCCAGCAGCCCTCACCCTGGTGAAGATCCCCCATTTCCAAGCTCTCCCTGGAAGCTGAGGCGTAAGGATGAGCGAGAAGAGAAGAAAAAGCAGGTGTTACTGTGAGTGAGGCTGGGGCACTTGGGCCCAGGGAGCAGGAAGGGGATTGCGGAGGTAAGCTGAAGCCGCGGGATGTTCAGGTGGCTTCTGAAAGGTTAGGGAGAAGGCATAGAAGGAGTGTGGGGGCTCAGGTTGAGAGAGGCGGCTCACGACTTTGAGAGCATCCGTGGGAATGGAGTCTAAGGGGGGCCAGTTCCGGGGTGAAGGTGGTTGACACTTAGCTGGCTGTCTGTTGCCGATCTTCTCTGTGCTTCTGTGTCTTTGTAAAATGGCAATAATCGTGGTAACTGTCGGAGCTGTTGAGTAGATGAGGAATGTTAAGAGCCTGGTGTCTGTTGGATGTTATTGGCCCTTTATCTGGAAAGTGACTTATTTCAGAGCAGACATTTTCCGCCCTCGTGTTCGGGTTTTGTAAATACAAACGTGGTGTCTCAGTTTTTCCCTGGCCCTGACCTCCCTTTGTCTTCCGTAAGGTGGGTGCTCCTGTGAGTGCTGCTTCCTTTCCTAGTTCCTTCTCTGGGTTTTGGGGGCCCACAGTCCATGAAAAGAAGTACAAGGCTGGTTCCTCTAACCTCCATCGTGTCCCTCTCTTCTCTCGCCAGGGTTTCGGACACCTCTCCTTTGCCCTCACCTCCACCAAGAAGCAAAAGCAGGAAGCATACTCGGGCACTGCAGAAGTTAAGGTGCCAGAGGCTGGGGCTTCTCGCTGGGGTGGGGAGGGGGTTGGGTAGGTGGCCAGTCCCAGCCAACCCAGAGTCTTCTCTGCACCCAGGGAGGTGAACAAACGCCTCCAAGATCTCCGATCCTGCCTGAGCCCCAAGCAGCACCAAGGCCAAGACTACCAGAGCCCAGATGATGAGGTGGTCCTGGTAGAGGGGCCCGTCCTCCCAGAGAACCCCCGGCTCTTCCCACTCAAAGTGCGCTGCCGGGCGGACGTGGTCCGACTGCCCATCAGAGTGGTAAGCACCTGAGGACGTGCCGGAGGGGGACCTAGGCGCTGCCTTGGGCGGAGGGGCCAGCAGGAGGGCCCACGTCTTCCTTTTCATGCTGCTCTCCGGAGCTGCCCACCACTCTTCCATCCCTCGTGCCTTGAGCTTCTTGTCACCTGTTTTCCCCCCAACCTCCCTTTTCTGCAGACTGCCTACTCATTCCTCAAGCCTGCCCTGAAGCATGTGGCTTCTAGGAAGTATTCCTTGGGAGCGCCTCTGTAGGGCCTGTGCTTCCCTCTTGGGGTTGTCCTCCCCTTGCTGGACACAGTAGCTGTCACTCAGTCATCCTGAGTTCCCCAGCTTCCTGGCAAAGGCTGAGATTATACAGGATGGTCCCAACTCAGCACTAAAGGTGGTAACAGAAATGAGCGCTAACCACGCTTGAGTCCGGCAGCTAAGCTGGAGGCTGCAGGCTGGGAACCCATGGCCTTACCAGCAGTGGTCGGCTGCCTGCGCTGTAGGTGCATTTCACACAGACATGGGGCTGGAGATGGGTGTGACTCAGACAGAGTGCGTGCCTAGCAGGCGAGAGGCTCTGAGTTCCATCCCCAGCACTGCCAAACCAAACGAGTTTGTAGACAACCTTTGCAATGGATATTCAGACAGAGGCTCAAGTTTTTGCACTTGATCATAGCCAAAAGGCCGAGAAGCGATCACGTTTTTGGCTTCTCTAAAAAATAGGAAGATGCAGTTAGACTGACCCATATTCACACAGGGTGGAAGTCACCTGAACTGTGTAAGAGCTGTTTGTTAAGATGGCCATGTGATTCTTTTGTGGTTATCCCACCATTCCCTTTTTTTCTCTTAAACCATGGCTGCTTCGTGTGTGTGTGTGTGTGTGTGTGCGCGCGCGCGTGCGTGTGCGTGTGTGCATGTGTGTGTGTGCATGCGCGTGTGTGCGCTATTCACCTGAACTCCTTACTGACATGACTTTATTCTGTACTTGCCAGGTAAATACAGTGACACAGCTGGGGAGTTCAGGCCAGATTCTTGTGTTTGGGGTAGTGGTGTTGGGGTAGGGGTGGGCTGGAGAATGTCAAGGCAGGAAGGCTACCTTTGCTTCTTTTTTTTTGTCTTTTTGAGACAGGGTCTCCCTAGGCAGTTCAGGCTGGCCTTGGGCTCACTTTATAGCCCAGGCTGGTCTGGCACTCGCAGCGATCCTCCTGCCTCAGCCTCCTGAGTGCTAGGATTATAGGCGTGTGCCACCACGCCCGGCTACCTTTGCCTCTTATCCCCTCTAGTCGGAGCCATTTCAGAGTGTAGTGGACCACATGGCCTCTCATCTCGGGGTGGCCCCAAGCAGGATCCTCTTGCTCTTTGGAGAGACAGAGTTGTCCCCTACCGCCACCCCCAGGACCCTAAAACTCGGAGTGGCTGACATCATCGGTGAGTGGAAGTCAAGGTGGTTGGGCCTAGAGGAGGCTTTTGCTGCAGGAGGGGAGCAGAGGAGTGGTCCAGGTTGGGCCCTGTCTCCAACCCCTCACTTAGGCCTGGCTTCCTGATCCTGCCTCCTACAGACTGTGTGGTGTTAGCAAGCTCCTCAGAGGGTGCAGAGGCATCCCAGCCCCTCCGACTCCGGGTGCAGGGGAAAGAGAAACACCAAATGCTGGAGATCTCGCTGTCTCAGGTGAGTGGGAGGAGTAGCTGTGCGCGTCCCCCACCTCCCCTGCTATCTCTCTTGTCAGTTTATAGGTGGCAGAGTCCTCCCAATCCGGACTCAGCGGAGATACTGCTCTCCATGTTCTTTTTGTTGTTATTGTTATCTTTCTGAGATAAAGTTTTGCTGTGCAGTTCAGGCTGGCCTTGAGCTCACTTTGTAGTCCAGGCTGGTCTCCAACTTGTGGTGGGTGATCCTCCTGCCCTCAGCCTCCCAAGTGCTGGGATTATATGTGTGCGCCACCATGCCCAGCCTCAGTGCTTCCTTTCAGTGAAAAATTCTTAGGGAAATCACGTGCTGAGGTTGCTAAAATCCACTATACAGTAACATATTTTGAGAGATAAGAGACAACATTCATGTAATTTTTATAGCAGTTTATGGTCTATTAAGATTGTTCTAATTTTATTATTGCTAATGTCTTATTGTCTAGTTTATAAATTAAACTTTATCTTAAGTGTATGTATAAGAAAACACTATATGTATCTATCTGTGTATATATACATACATATTTTCATGGTTTTAAGTGCCCACTATCCATGGTTTCAGGCATCTACTGGGGGTAGATGGAATGACGGGGACTACATACCACAGACTGGGCCGTTTAAATTAACAGACAGGGCCGGGGATATAGCTCAGCAGCATAAGTGCCTGCCTGGCAAGCCTCAGGTCGTGAGTTTGATTCCCACTACCAAAAAAAAAGAAGTTAAAAAAAAAAAATTAATAAACATAGGACTCATCTCTTAAAAAATAAATAGGTTTAGCCAGGTGTGGTGGTGCACCCCTGTAATCCCAGCACTCAGGTGGCTAAGGCAGGGGGTTGCCATGAGTTCAAGGCCAGCCTGACCTACGTAGTGAGATCTTGCCTCAAGAAAAACAAAACAAACAAAAATACAATAGACATCTATTCTCTTACAGTTCTGGAGGCTGGGCACCCGATACAAAGTGTTAGGACCGTGCGCCCTCGGAGGCTGTGGTAGAGCCCTTTGCCTCTTGCTAGCTTCTGGGTGGCCGGAGCCCTTGGCTTGCAGCTGTGTCGCTCTGTCTCTTTCATCCTAGGACGTAGGTCAGTTTGGATTAGTAGCCACTCTAAGCAAGCGAGGCCTCATCTTAACTTGATTACGTTTCAAGGCCCTGGACCCAAATAAGGTCACATTCCTATTTGTCGGGGTCAGCAGTGTGTTTTCTGGAAAACGCAGTTCAGCCTGTACTACTTTGCTAAGGTAACACATTGGAGAAGCGGCAGAGTGGCCCCTGGCTGGGGTCATCGCACCCTAGAATCTGGGCTCTCTCATGATATATTGACACATGGCCCCCGTTCCCAGTGAGGAACCTGGCTGAGCTAGCATCCTTGTCCCCTTGCCTTCTCTTTAGGGGCTCTTTTTTTTTTTTCTTGTGTTTTTGAGGCAGGGTCTCACTGTTCAGTTCAGGCTGGCCTTGAGCTCAGTTTGCAGCCCAGGCTGGTCTGGAACCCACAGTGGTCCTCCTGCCTCAGCCTCCCGAGTGCTGGGATTACAGGCGTGCACCACCACGCCTGGCAGTTCCTCTAGGGGTTCTGATGTCCCTGATTGGCCCCTTGATCATGAGTTCTGTCTCTGTCCTTGTAGTGATCTCCTCCACTCTTCTTTCATGTGTTTACATCTGTTTTCCTTTTTCCTTCCAGGATTCTCCTCTCAAGACGCTCATGTCACACTATGAGGAGGCCATGGGGCTCTCTGGACACAAGCTCTCCTTCTTCTTTGATGGGACAAAGCTTTCAGGCAAGGAGCTACCAGCTGATCTGGGCATGGAATCCGGGGACCTCATCGAGGTCTGGGCCTGAAGCCCCGTTCTGTGTTTGGAGGCCCAGCCAGGACTTAGAACTCTTCCTTTTTGGCCCTATAAGACTAGCAGAAAGTGGGGCCAGGGATATAGCTCAGCGGCACAGCACAGCCTGGCTGTGTGAGGTCGTGAGTTTGATCCCTGGTACCGAAAAGAAAACAAAAAACAAAAAAAGCCCTAGTGGAAGGTGAGGTGGAATTTATTTTTAAGCAGAATCAAAAGCAAGGGGTGGCCTTGGGCCCCATCTCCTGTTAACCCTGGCCCAAGCCATTGACCGCTTGCTGGCACCTGAGTGGCCGTGGCACCATGCAGGGGTCATGCTGAGTTTTGCAGCCCTCCGGTGCCCTTGAACTTCCGTTACTGCCCTTTGCTTCACTGAGATGCCTGTTCTATGAAACCTCCCTCATATTTAAGGAGTAGAAGTAAACGGGGCTGGGTAAGGGTTTGCAGGTCTGGGATTTACACCACCCTGAGGCCCAGTGGTGGCCTTACCCTCACTTGGAGGCTGGGTTGCTGGCGGCGGTGCGACGGCAGGCTCCTCAGCGTGCAGGAGAGTGAGCGAGCACGTGCGCGCACTGCAGTTTAAGCACAGGTAGGCAGGATGTTCTTTGAAGGATGGTGGGATCTCAGCCCTGAGCGGCTTCTCAACCCCAGGACCCTGTATCGTCACCCTTTCTGGTGCACGTATTTCGGCTGTTTCATTTTGGATCTTGGGCATATAGTTCATTGAAAATTCCTGTGGTTTTGCCTTTTTCCCTCCCTTACATCATCCTCTCCCGTCCGCATCCCGTCTAATATATTTATTACACATTTGAATATGAATGTCTTTAAAAGGTAGAGTGTTTTGTGGGGGAGTGGTATTGTGCAATAGATCTCATTCTGTTTTCACCCGCCATATGTGAAGCTCTAGCCCTGCTGCTTGTTGTAGACCTGTCATTCTTCTGACCTGCTTCGTGGTACTACAGGGGCATCAACTGCATTTTACTCACACGATGCCTTAAGTGGGCAACACCTGTGTGCCTCCAGCGCCTTGGCACTGTGTGCAAGGCCACGATGAACCTCCTTGTCTGGGGCCCTTCCGCGCTGTGGGGGCAGTTTCCAGCCTGTGTACCCAGGAGAGGACTGTGGGTTGTACAGGTCCGTTTCTCTGGCTTCTCAGACTTCTCTCAGAATGAGGATGGGGCAGGGCGTGGTGGCGCACGCCTGTAATCCCAGCACTGTGGAGAGAGGCAGGATTTCACATTCTTGCAGTTTAGGGAGACTCTATGAAAGGCTGGGGATGTAGCTCAGTCCTAAGGCCCACAGTTCAATCGCCAGTACTGCCAAAGCAAGCAAACAGACAACAACACAAACAGGATTTTTAAAATGCATGGGCGTTTCTGGTTTCTCTTTTGTGAATTGCTGGTTTTCTCTCGAGCTCCCTTCTTTTTTTTTTTTTTTTTTTTCTTTTACGAGCTCCCTTCTTTGTGCTCGTTTATTCTGAGGAGTTGCTTGCGTGCTCTCGGGGGATTGCCAGTAACTCCTAGAGTGGCACTTTGCGTAGGTAGGGGTAGCTTTCACTGAACTGTCTGGATTTTAATGTAAGCAAATTAACCATTTTGTTGTACAGTTTGTGCTCTTTCCTGTCTTCTTAAGGCTAGTTAAAGGTATTGTCATTCCTCTGTTAGCTCGGTGTTTTCCTCCCAGTCAGCCACTGGATAAGGCTGAAGGCCCGTGGGGACGCCGTGGTGTGGGCGGGGCGCCAGGCGCTCCGTTCTCACGGCTCAGTACCTGGCTGTCCTGGCTGCTGGATACAGAGCATCACTTTGACACGATGTAAAATGTACTTGTGTATGTGAGACTAAGGTGTTTTTTTTTTTTTTTTTTTTTTTTTTTACCATCTAACAAGCCAGTTTCATCAGTTTTGTCTACTAAAAAAGCCATGAATCATCCACCAATAGTGGTATAATTTTAACAGAAGTATGTCAACTTCATAAAAAAATTTTATTGGAATGTGGTATTCCTTTGAATTTTATTTTATACTTTTTATTTTGCATTTTATAACATTTAAATAGTTTATATGTCATAGCTCTTCATGTTTTAAATCTTTTATTTGCACTGATAAGTTTGTATACATTAAGATTATGTATTCAATCTCAGCAGAATAAATGGCAATACATACAACTATGTATACCTGAGAATTTCTGTCTGTGTGGCATGACACCTATTAAAATCCTGTGATAGAGACCATTAGTTATTTCCCCGTATCTGTTTTTGCTCCTTCACAGGTACTGTACTTATGGCTTTGAGCAAAGGGCAGAGACACATTATAAAGACAGCATGGTCAGACCTCCAGGTCTTTGTGCCCCTAGATCAGCCAGTCATGGTTGAAACTTTAGGGAAAGGGGGCTGGGGATTTAGCTCAGCGGCACAGCGCTTGCATGGCAAGCGCAAGGTTGTGAGTTCGATCCCCGGTACTGGAAAAAAACCAAAAACAAAAAAAAGAAACGGAAAGAAATGTGTGTCTGTACTGAACATGTGCAGACCTTTCTTCCTGTTACTGGTCCCTGACAGCACAGCATAACTATTTCCATAGCACTTACATGGTAGTAGGTGTCATATGGAGTCCAACTAGAGGTGGCCAGGTGCCAGTTCCGGCTCTTGGGGTCCAAGTGGCAGAGGGGTGCTACTTCTAGGAAGTGTCCACAGGGCAGCAGGTGCCTCTGTGCCCTCTCCTCGCCCCGTGCCTGCTGACTGGGTATGGAACAGCTCTCCTGACACTGGGGACCTCCAGAACTGGGGCCTCATAGCAGGACAATGGGAGGAGCCTGGCTGTCGCCAGGTAGCACCTTACCAGCCCCGGCACCGTTGACCTCTGGACTTTTATGTGAACAAAGAACTTTGTCTTGCTTAAATAAATGTTATTTTAGGATTTCTGCCACCTAAAACCAAACCCAGTTTTAACTCCAAAATGTGGAACTAGCCAGGTGTGGTGTCACACGCCTGTAATCTCCGCACTTCGGAGGCTGAGGCAGGAGACTGTCTGAGTTCAAGGCCAGCCTGAACTGTGTAGTGAGACCCTGTCTCAATAAAACAGATATCACAGGATTGCAGTGAGCCCCGGGGCACTAGTGAGAATTTTCCGTAGATGTTTATATCCAGGAGTAGAATCACCAGCCATGAGTGGAATGTGCATCTTCCCAGCTTCTTGTTCTCCTTTTCCCTCTATTTTGCAGTGGTGGAGATTCAACCCAGGGCTTTCACGCTGATCTACACCCCCAGCCCTTCAAAAGTTTTTTTTCTTTTGAGTTTTGAGACAGAGTCTCACTAAGTTGCCCGGAGTGGGCTCCAACTTGTGATCCTGCCTCAGCCTCCCAGAGTGGTAGGACTGATTACAGGCGTGCACCACCACACCCGTCTCCAGCTTCTGAATTCTGTTTGGTGGTAACCTGGGTGGTAAGACCGTTAGTGATCCCTAGGAGCTTCGAGGTTCCTCCTGTCCTGCCTAGTGCACCGTCTGGGAAGGATCTGGGAAAGACCTTACTGTAAAAGAACTTGCATTCTTCTATGGCAGAGAAGTTGCTTGCCCTTTCCCCTGGCTCTTTCCACACTCTCATTCATCTTCAGAGCAGCCCTGCGAAGTAGGTATTGTTATTCCTGTTTTACAGAGGAGAAACAGACCCTTCGATGAAGTAACCTGCCCCAGAACACACAGCCTCCAGTCACAGGGCCAGATGTACACACAAGGGAGCCTCATGCATGATTCAGAATTTTTGTTTTTTTTTTTGAGACAGGGTGTTGCTATATAGTTTATGCTGGGCTTGAACTCACTATATAGCCCAGGCTGGCCTTGAACTCACAGTGATCCTCCTGCCTCAGCCTCCTGAGTGCTGGATTACAGGTATGCGTCCCCATACCTGGCCAACTCAGAATTTTTGAGACCAGTGATTCTCTCTTTTTTTTTTCTTCCTTGAGATGGGGTCTTAGTGTGTAGTTTAGGCTAGCCTTGAACTTGTGGCTGTCCTGCTGCTTTAGCCTCCCGTTGCTGGGATTACAGGCAGGTGCCACTACTCCCTCCTGACCAGTGATTCTCAGACCTCAAAATGTACACAAGTCTTGGGGGAGCCTCTTAAAAGGCAGATGCTGGACCAGCTGCTTGGGGGGAGGGTCTGAGAGCCCCCATTTCCTAATAAGTCCCCAGGGGATGCAACACTGCTAAGAGTAGTACTTGGAGTACCAAGGCACTGTTCTATTTTCCCTTATTTTTGGCGCTTTTTTCTTTATACCTTTAAGTAGCCCGTCTCCCTAGCCCTGCCACCCTCTCCAGCTCAAGGGTCAGTTTCTCCATAAAGCCCCTCCGGGGGCCGGTGACACGCTTCTGTGTTCCACCTCAGCTTGGAACCAGGCCGTAGCTCCTCACATTCAACCTGCTGTTTCCCTACTGTAATAGGAAATGGCCCCCCAGCCAGTACACTTCAGTTTGTTAGTTGCCCAGGTGACAGTTCCTGTTTTAGTTCCGGTTGCTTCTGTCTCTTAGAAACAGTTGGTCACCGTGATGCACAGCTGGTCACTATGACGAACATTGTATAATAAACCCATCCCTAACTGACAAGCCATTCCGCCTCTGTACTTCCTGCTTGCTTATCCCATATAAGCCCTAGAGCACCAGAGATCAGGGCCTGATATTCTGGGAATGGTCCCGATTGGTGCCCATCGACGTAAATAAATCTGCCTCCAAATCCGGGTCCTTTTGGTGTTTCTGCTTGCTGTTACACTACCAGACTAAGCTCCCAGCAAACAGTGTCTTCTTTTTATTTTTGTTTTTGTTTTGAGACAATGTCTCCCTAGGTAGTGCAAGCTAGCCTTGAACTCATGGTGATCCTCCTGCCTCAGCCTCCTGAGTGCTGGGATTACAGGCATATGCCACCATACCCAGCTGCCTTTCTATTTCTTTAAAACAATCTCACTAAATTCTCAGGCTGTCCTCCTTCCTCAGCCTCCTCAGGTGAGATTATAGGTGTGTTCTACCAAGCAAACATGTATATATATGTATATATATATTTTTTATTTTGTCTTTTTCAGAGAGGGTCTCACTATGCAGTTCAGGCTGATCTTGAACTCACTTTGCAGTCCACGCTGGCCTCGAACTTGCAACAATCCTCCTGCCTCAGCCTCCCAAGTGCTGGGACTACAGGTGTGGGCAACCATGCCTGACTAAACCTATTTATTTTTTTAAGAGGTGAGTTTTATGATGCCCAGGCTGGCGTTAAACTCCTGGGCTCAAGCAATCTTTCTGGCTCAGCCTTATCAAATCTGATTTTTGAAGTTAATTTTTGTAGTGCTTCAGGTCAAACCCAAGGCCTCATGTGCAAGGCAAACACTCTACCCTTGAGCTCACTTTGTAGCCCAGGAAGGCCTCAAACTCGCAATAGTCCTCCTGCCTCAGCCTCCCGAGTGCTGGAATTACAGGCGTGCACCACCATGCTCAGCAAAAAAAACAATTTTAATCTGGCCCACCTGGCTGGCCTCTTCTCTCTCACCCTCTGCACTGGCCCTTCTTTCATTTATTTATTTATTTAGGGTTTTTTCCGGTACCGGGAATTGAACTCAAGACCTTGCATTTGCCAGACAGGCGCTGTGCTGCTGAGCTAAATCCCCAGCCCCCTGACCCTTTCAGATGCTCCGTCCATTCTGTTTCCTTCTGTGAGCAGGGCCTTTGCGCGTGCTTCTCTCTTCCCTGGATCCCTCAGTTATCCCTGTGCTATGTTCCAAGACACACCCTCACTGGCCCCACATCCCTAATGCTCTATACATGGTGGGATCTAGGGACTCGATGTTCACTGGTTTTGGAACTTGTGACAAGTACTAAAAATGCCAGATCCCGCCTTCCCAAAATTGCAGAAAAGGGTGATACAAATCACGTGCTGATAGCAAACCGATGACGAGTACTGAGACAAAACTTCCTCATGAAAGTGCTTCAGGTGCCCAATTCCTCAAGCTCCGAAGCCGTGCAGGACCAAGGTGTGACTGTATACTGCTTTTCCCTACATACATGCGATAAAGTTTATAAATTAGGCAAAAGATTGACATCAACTGATGAAACGGACAGTTACAACAGCTTCCTGTCAGAAGGGTTGTGTGAGTCACTCTTACTGAGCTGTCCTGTATCCTTGGCTTTGGCTGACCACAGGTAACGTGAACCCTGGAGTAAAGGGGACCTGCGTATTTCTCTGTCATGCTTAGGCTCCCAGGTCCTCCTGTTACTAGGGGTTAGGAACACCCACGTGCTGGACCTGCTTTGTGGTATTTGTCATCAGTGAACTTTTTGTTCAGGAAATTTCATGTGTACTTGGATTTTGTGAACCACAAAGGTTTAGAAGCAAACAGCAAAAGTTGGACTCCAGTTTCAGCTGATTGGACCCATACAGGGATATATATCTAACCTTAAAGGGATCTTAATCAAGAGATGTATAAAATTAAAAAGTACCTGAACTCAGAGATGAAGCCATTTTTTTTTTTCACATTTGGTAAAATGAATTTTTGTTTGTCTTTTTGAGACAGGGTCTCGTTATGCAGTTCAGGCTGGCCTTGAGTTCACTTTGTAGCCCAGGCTAGCCTCACACTCGCAGCAGTCCTCCTGCCTCAGCCTCCCGAGTGCTGGGATTACAGGCGTGTGCTACCACGCCCGGCTCCCATTTGATAAACTAAATTGGCATTAAAGTATTTGCATTTTTTTCCTCCTTGGTCCTGAGGATTGAACTCAGGTCTTTTTCATTGAGCTACATCCTCAGGTCTTTTTTTTTTTTTTTTTAAACAAGGTCTCACTGGCCTTGAACTATGTATCCCAGGCTGGCCTCGAATTCCTGGTGATCCTCTTGCCTCAGCCTCCCAAGTAATGGGATTATAGGCATGCACTACCACACCTGGCTACCCCTAGTTTTTTGTTTGTTTTTGTTTTTTTTAGACAGGTTCTTGCTAAGTCCCTAAATTTCCCAGGGTGTGTTTGAACTTTCATCCTGTCACAGTCTCCAGAGTGCTAGGATTACAGGCGTGTGCCTTCAGGCCCAGCTTGTGTAATGCTTCTGTGAACATACATGTACAAATTGTGTTGGGGCATGTTTTTACCTCTTATTGGTGGATGCCTAGGATTGGAGCTGCTGAGTCATGTGGAAGGCATATATTTAATTTTAAGTAAACTGTTAAATTGTTTTCCACAATGGGTGTGAAACCATTCGCTTTCACACTGACATTGTACTTTCTCCAGTGGCTGCATGTTACTTCTAGTTATTCAGTACTGCCAGCTTTGTTTTGTTTTGAACTATTCTAATATAGTGATAGCTCAGTGTGGGTTTTGTTTTTATTTTTTGAGACATGGTCTTGCTATATAGTTGAGGCTGGCCTTGAACTCACTATGTAGCCCAAGATGGCCTCAAACTTGGGGTAATCCTTCTGCCTCAGCCTCCTGAGTGCTGAGATTACAGGTCACCGCACATGGTGTTCAATGTGGTTTTAAGTTGTATTTTCCATAATGACCAATGATAATTGTATACATGTTGGTCATCTGTATATCTTCTTTGGGGAAATGTCTGTTTACATCTTTTGCCCATTTAAAAAATTGTTATTGGCCGGGCGTGGTGGCGCACACCTGTAATCCCAGCACTGTGGGAGGCTGAGGCAGGAGGATCGTTTTGAGTTTGAGACCAGCCTGGGCTACAAAGTAAGCTCAAGACCTGAGTCTCTGCATAGTGAGACTCTGTCTCAAAAAAGACCAAAACAAAACAACAAAAAAAAGTGTTACTGGCCTATTGACTTTGAAGAGCTTACACTCTTCTGAATACAAGGCCTTTGGCAGCTACATGCTTTGATTATGTTTTCACTGGCAGGTGCAGTGGTACAGGAATCTGCCTCGTCCTGATAAGCTCCGTGAAGGAAGGGCGTAAGTCTGCTTTTGCCGGACACCTGGGAAATAAATGCCAGGCGCACGTGGCTGCCCAATGACATTTTTGTTGGGGGATTAAATGACTACAGTCTAAAGTGCCTGTTAGGGGGCTGGGGATATAGCTCAGTGGCTAAGTACCTGTCTGGCAAGCACAAGGTCCTGAGTTGAGTCCCAGTACCAAAAAAAAAAAGACATACTAAAGTACCTGTCCATCAGGGGAGACTAAGCTTAAGGTTCCAAAACACAGAGTATTTCCTGGGCAACGCTGGTGAGGGGTATTCAGGACTCCGAATAGATTCCAATAAGGCGTCTTGGGGACCTGGTGAGACTCCAGAATGGCTTTTTTTTTTTTTTTTTTTGTCTTTTTGAGACAGGGTCTCCCTATGCAGTTCAGGCAGGCCTTGAGCTCACCCTGTAGCCCCGGCTGGTCTTGAACTCGCAGCGATCCTCTTGCCTCGGCCTCTCGAGTGCTGGGATTACAGGTGTGCGCCACCACGCCTGGCCTCAGAATGGCTTTTGAAGTGTGGTTGGAAGAGTTTTTTGTTTTTTTTTTTTTTAAGTACCGGGAATCGAACTGATGACCTCAGGCTTGCCAGGCAAGCCCTTATGTCACTGAGCTACATCCCCGGCCCTGGAAGAGTTTTTTGAAGCTGCGTTTGCACAGAACGGTGACAGTGTTACTTAGAGTGTGTGTTTATTCGGTGTCTCGGATATTGCGAGTGTCCCCAGAGGACCACCACGCCATCCTTTGGCCAGGGAGCTGGTGCCTGTCACCCAGTCCCGCGGCCACGTCTCCGTAAGCCGAGTTCCGCCAGCTGCGCAAGAGACCACCAGAGGGCGCAAGGCTCCGGGCCCGGGAGGAAGGCGGGCAGGCGGGTTAGGACGCTTCCTTCAATGGACGCCCAGGGCTGGGGAATCCGCAAAGGGGCAGCGGCTCACCTTCACCCGTCCCACCTTTACTGAGCGTGCGCGCAGCCGCCCAGGCTCTCCGCGTGACTGCCACCGAGAGAACCGGTCCCAGCGTCTCTAGAGACGTTTGTAAGTGCCGAAAACCCTTCGATCGCAATACTTGGTTTGACCCACAAGACGTCCGCCAGGCGGTGGTAGAGTCGCGGATCCGAGAGCGGCTCCCCGGTTGCCCTGGCGACCGGCCGGCAGTCACGTGACGCGGTACTCTGGGAAGGCGGCTCGAGGCTCTCGGCTGCGGCGCCGGTCACGTGCCGAGGGCTTACAGGCCGCTCCAGGGTCACATGACCCGCTCTCCAGCAACATGGCCGCCGCCGGGGTGCAGCGCCGGCGCTGAGCGATCAGGGGCGCGCTCCTGCTCGGGGTGAGGGGTCCCGGCGCGGGAGGGGGCCCGGCCGCTCCATCTCGTCGTCGCCTGGATCCCGCAGTCCCCTGCGCTCGGTGTGTGTGGCGGGACGGGGGGAATGCCCGGCCCGATCCCTTTTCGGCCGAGCTCCGCATCGGGGGAAGGTCCTGCCCGACTGTGGGGTCCCCTCCCTCGCGGGGGGTCCCGCTAGTCTCCCTCTCCAGCCCCTTTCCTTCGCAGGTGGGACCGGAGCGCGGGCCGGTGCGGCCCCCCGGGACCATGGCCGGGTCCGACACCGCGCCGTTCCTCAGCCAGGCGGATGACCCCGATGATGGGCCGATGCCGGGTACCCCGGGCTTGTCGGGGTCCTTGGGGATCCCGAAGTCCGGGGAGCCCGAGGTGCCGGACCAGGAGGGGCTGCAGCGCATCACGGGCCTGTCCCCGGGCCGTTCGGCGCTCATCGTGGCCGTGCTGTGCTACATCAACCTCCTGAACTACATGGACCGCTTCACCGTGGCCGGTAGGCGCTGGCCGCGGCGGGGCAGGGAGGGGGCCACGTCCCGGGCTGGGGTAGCTGCGCGGGCTCACCCTGAGTGTTCCCCTTCCAGGCGTCCTTCCAGACATCGAGCACTTTTTCAGCATCGGAGACAGTAGCTCCGGCCTCATCCAGACCGGTGAGCGGAGGCCCGTCCTGGTCACTCACCGCTCTTGCCCCTTCCTGCCCCCCTCGGGGCCATATGCTGACCTAGCTGGGGCCTCGTTCCTGAGGGTTAGCGGTCAGAGCGAGGGGACCTAATGGCCTGGATTTTGTCCTGGGACTGACTAATTCAGCTGGGAAATTACATTTAAAGAGGGGAGCACCGCTGTAAGCCCAGCTGTGGGGGGTTGAGAGTTGGAAGGCCGCCTGGGCTGTACAGCCATACCCTGTCTCAGAACAGAACAGAACAAAAGGAGAGGTCAGTTATACTACGTGGTTGAGACAGACCTGGCTTTAAGTCTCTGCTTCCCCTTACTGTGTGACGGTCTGCAGGGCAACGGCGCTGAGCCTCCCTAAGCCTCATTTTCCTTGTCTGTGAGAGGGGCTGGTAAAAGCAGATCATCCCCAAGGGTAGATGACCTCATGCTGTGAAGGGCCCAGGAGAGTCGCAGGAGGTAGGCACCCCTAGGCGTCGGCCAGGAGAGAGTGTCTGGAATGGGGGAAGGGGACTTTTACTTGTTCAGGACTTTGTGGCTGGGAGAGGCAAAGCAGAGCTGAAGTCTTCCATTCCTTCCTTTCGCAAGCAGATGTCTATGAGCATTGCCATGTGCCAGGCCCCGGAGGGAGTGGCGATAACGTGTTTGGCCAGATGTCTTTGTTCATCTTTTTTTGTGTGTATATGTGGTGCTGGAGAGCCAAACCCAGAACCTCACAAGTGCCAGGCAGGCACTGTACTTCTGTTTTATGTAACCCAGGCTGGCTTTGAACTCACAGCGATCCTAAGTGCTGGCATTACAGGCGTGGGACACCACACCCAGCCTAAGACTGTACTTCTGAACTGCCACCTTACCCCAGTTTAAACCCTCCCATTGGAGCCAGGCATGGTGGCACACCCCTGTAATCCCAGCACTCAGGTGGCTGAGGCAGGAGGATCATTGTGAGTTCGCGGCCAGCCTGGGCTACAAAGTGAGCTCAAGGCCAGCCTGAACTGCATAGCGAGAGCCTGTCTCAAAAAGACAAAAGCAAACAAACAAATAAATAAATAAACCCTCCCATTGGCTCAGGAATAGGTGTTACTGTCACTATTTTATAGAGGAAGCAGGTAGCGTTAGCTACATTTTACAAAGAAACTGAGGCTTGGAGGAGAGTTTGGGCTTGCCCGGGGTCACACAGCGTGTCAGAGGCAAAACAGGGATTTGAAACCAGCTCTTGTGGAGCGCTTTTCTACCTCAAGGCTTAATGAGGAACTGGCGGTGTTTAAGTCTGGAGAGGAGAGTGGGACCAAAGGTCAAGGTTGCAAACCTCTGAAGAGTCGTTGCATTAGAGAAGCAGTGGAACTTTCTAGACGGCTCCATTTATTCCCCTTTTCACTCAGTGTGGATCGATTGATACATCTTTGGTGTGAGCTGTGTGTTTATAAGAGAATCACTGTCATGACCAGAATAGGCAAGGTCCTTACCTTCATGGAGCTCTATGCAGGAGGGGGCTGGTAAAACCCTCAGTTACAATGAGATGAGTTTGGCATGGTGGCGCACGCCTGTAATCCCAGCACTTGGGAGGAGGCTGAGGCAGGAGGATTGTTACGAGTTCAAGGCCCGCCTGGGTTACAAAGTGAGCTCAAGGCCGGCCTGAACTGCATAGTGAGACCCTGCTCAAAAAGACAAAACAAAACAAAACAATGAGATAACTTCCCGTAAGGGTAAATGTTGTGTAAAAGAAAACAGTAAGTGTGAGAGACAGGGACAGGCTGTCTGGAGATGCAGGAAGGCGTCCAAGTGCACCCAGGAGCTAAGCTTTGAGAAGCTCCGCGAGGAGGAGGTGTTGGAGGCGGAGGGGCTGGGGTGGGGACGGTGAGGACGGGGAGGCTCACCTTGCGCTCCCGCTGTCCCTGCGGCCCGCACCCAGGCTGGGTGGGAGTGGGAGGCTGGGGACCTGGCTGGGCTGACTCTCTGCTCCCCCGCAGTGTTCATCTCCAGTTACATGGTGTTGGCGCCTGTGTTTGGCTACCTGGGTGACAGGTACAATCGGAAGTATCTCATGTGCGGCGGCATTGCCTTCTGGTCCCTGGTGACACTGGGGTCATCCTTCATCCCCAGAGAGGTGAGGCCCCGAGCTGGCTCCTGCTTCTGGCCATGCCCCACTCCTGTCCATCTCTGCCGCTGCCCCTTGGAGTCCTTTCAGACCGGCCCCGGGAGCCTCTGCAGTTTCCTTGGTTCATGCCATTTTATACCCTGTCCTTGCCGGAGTGACTCTGCCTGCCCTTCCTCTCTCCTTTCCTTCCAGAACCCTCTGCTGCCCATCACCCCTCTTCCCTGACCACTGACCCCTCTGCTCCGTACCTAAATACACACATGACCCTACCATGGAAGAGCCCCACCTGCACCGACCGCCCTCTCCCCTTCCTTCCTGAAAGGCCCTCGAGCAGCCCAGCCCCAGCGAGGGGCAAGGAGCAGCCGGGAGCTGCCGGCACCTGCCTGCTGCTCCTCTGCTCCCCTCTTGAGAGCAGCCAGCTGACTTCCGCCCCACCCTCCGGCGCACCTGCCCTTGCCAGAGGCAGTAGCGACCTCCCAGTTGCTCAGGGCTCCACCTCCTAGCGCTGTTCTTGCTGAATCTCCCAGGAGCCCTCGAGCCACGTCCTCCTTCCTGAGCCCCTCTTCTGTGGCCACCCTCTTCTGGTTTCCCTTGCACCTCCTTGGCTCTTGCTTCCTTGCTTCTTTGAAATCTCCTCCCTCTGTGCTCTCTCTGCCCCAGCTCTGTCCTCAGACTCAGGCCCTACGTGTGCTTCTCAGCCGTCATACCCTGCCCTCAGCCGCAGGTGTCTTTGGTAGACAAATAAATACTCCCTCTGCCCAGGTTCACTTTTCACCGCTGGGGTGTCTTGGGCGGGAAGGGCAAGGTAGAAACTAAGATTGAGTTTGTACCTGCTGGGGACCTTGTACCGTGAGTTCCTCACAACAGCTGTGTGAACAAGTTATTGTTATTCCCCTTTTGCAGATGAGGAAACTGAGGCTCAGAGAGGTTAAGTAACTTTCTCAAAGTCACAGCTAGTAAGTGGTGGAGCCAGGATTCCAGCCAGGTCTGTCTGACTCTGAACCCAGGCCTCTCCTGCTGTCCCTGCTGCCTCTCTGGCGCTGGCTGGAGAGGTCGCCTGGGAGGTTGGCTCCAAGGTGGGGTGCCACCTCCCCCGTGTCTCCTTCCCCAGCGTTTCTGGCTGCTCCTCCTGACCCGGGGCCTAGTGGGGGTCGGGGAGGCCAGCTACTCCACCATCGCGCCCACCCTCATCGCCGACCTCTTCGTGGCCGACCAGCGGAGTCGGATGCTCAGCGTGTTCTACTTCGCCATCCCGGTGGGGAGGTGAGCTGGCCGAAGCCTGGCGGGAGGCGGAGGGCCTGGGTGGGGACCTGACTGATGGACTCTCTGTCCCCTCTGCCCCTCCCGCTCCTGGCAGCGGCCTGGGCTACATTGCAGGGTCCAAAGTGAAAGACGCTGCTGGGGACTGGCACTGGGCGCTGAGGGTGAGTCTGAAGTCGGGGGCATTCTCACCGCCCCCTTTCTGACCCCTGGCCACCTCCTTTTCCTGGCGGTGCTGGCTGCGCTCCCCAGGAGGTCACGCCGGAGGCAGAGCTCCTCTTGCAGGTGACAGGAGTGCCCTGGACACCGTAACCCCCGGAAGGGACTGTATTGGCTTTCCTAGTGGCAGGCCCCGGCGTGGTCTTCAGGCAAAGCCGAGCCAGGGCGCCCCAGGGTCACCAGGGTTTCACAGTTCTCTTCTCGCTTTCTTTTTTTCTGTGCCGACTTCATGTCTCAAGCGTCTCAGTTCCAGATCGGTACCTTTGAATAGCGCAAGTCCAGCACTTTGAAGCCTTGAGCAGCGGTCATGGGATGGCAACTGATGAGGCCAATGTGGGTCCCAGGTCTACCGTGCAGCCAGCCACCAGGGCTGGGACAGTTACCAGTCAGTCCCCTTGTTGGCCAGGCTTGAGTTGCTATTTAATCCATGTAGATTGACAGAAATGGGGGAAGTGGTTTCCCAAAAGAAAATCAGCCTGGGCGTGGTGGCGCATGCCTGTAATCCCAGCACTCGGGAGGCTGAGGCAGGAGGATCATCATGAGTTCAAGACCAGCCTGAACTGCATAGTGAGACTCTGTCTGAAAAAAAAGAAAAGAAAATCAGGGTTCTGTTGCCACAGAAGAAGCAAAGTTAGGCTTGCAGAAATAGTAACCACCCCCGCTTCCCAAATTGGAGGTGCAGCCTCCTGGAGCAGGCCCGTCTCTGGGTGTGAGGAGGGCGGGTCTTCTGCGCACCCTCCCTGGGCCCCGGCCGCTCAGGTTGAGTGTGTCCTTGTCTCTGCCTGTCCTGAAGCCGGTTTCTTCCAGGTGACGCCGGGCCTGGGGGTGGTGGCTGTTCTGCTGCTGTTCCTGGTAGTACGGGAGCCGCCCAGGGGAGCCGTGGAGCGCCACTTGGATTCACCACCCCTGAGCCCCACCTCGTGGTGGGCGGATCTGAGGGCTCTGGCGAGAAAGTGAGTTGAATCCCTTCCCACTGCACCCAGGGCCCCTCTTGCGGCTGGGGAGCCGAGCGGGCCAGTCTTCGCTGGCTGTGCTGCCGAGCCCAGAGCCGGTGCCGGGCCTGTGCCCTTGCGGCAGCCGCTGGGACCCACCCGGGCAGCCTCCCCACGCGCCCTTCTGCGGAGTGAGCCGGGAAGGGAGCAGAGAAGTCTGATCTCTTCTCTCCCGACTGCACAGTCCTAGCTTCATCCTGTCCTCCCTGGGCTTCACGGCTGTGGCCTTCGTCACTGGCTCGCTGGCGCTGTGGGCTCCCGCGTTCCTGCTGCGCTCCCGTGTGGTCCTGGGGGAGACCCCCCCTTGCCTTCCCGGGGAGTCCTGCTCCTCCTCGGACAGGTACCCAGCCGGGCTGGGCCGGCGGCCTGCGGGTGACGGGGAAGCGCGTGTGATTCGGACTTGCGCAAGGGCAGGCTGAACCCTGACCCCGCAAGCTGCTTCTCTGCCAGAGCCTGAGTTTCTGGAGGCGCTGGAAGGGGTGATGTGGGGGACAGGGGTCCTGGGTCTGGACAGCCTTGTGGGTGAGGGTGGCCGGGAGGGACTGGCTTTCCTCCCCGGCTGGGGCGTGGGAGGCAGAGGGCCTAGCCCATGTCTCCCCGCTGCCCCTAGCCTCATTTTCGGGCTCATCACCTGCCTGACCGGGGTCCTGGGCGTGGGCCTGGGCGTGGAGATCAGCCGCCGCCTCCGCCGCTCCAACCCCCGGGCGGACCCCCTGGTGTGTGCCGCCGGCCTGCTGGGCTCCGCTCCCTTCCTCTTCCTGGCCCTCGCCTGCGCCCGCGGTAGCATCGTGGCCACCTATGTGAGTCTCCAGCCGGGTCAGGGGGTGCGCTGGGCCCGGGTGGGGGAACCACGCTGGACCTGGTGGTTCGAGGTAGCACGCCCGGTTTGAAATCACAGCTCTGGCCCTCCCCAGCCGTGTGACACTGGGCAAGCAGTTTAGCTTCCCCGGGCCCAGTTTTGCCGTCTGAAAATGGGACCGATGCTCGTCCCTGGCTCGTAGGGATGTGCGGAGGACTGCTTGAGGTTACAGACGCGCCTGTGGCAGGGTAAAGCGCTGGTGCGTTCGCTCGCGCTGGGACCCCTCCTCCCTCCCACCCCCTTAGATTTTCATCTTCATTGGAGAGACCCTGCTGTCCATGAACTGGGCCATCGTGGCGGACATTCTGCTGGTGAGTGCTGGCGCTCCGCGGTCGGCCCGGAGCCTGATGAGAGCGGGGACTGGGGACCGGAGGTAGTTGCGTGCGCCGAATGGTGGCCCTTAGCCCAGGCTGCAGAGTCCAGCCGAGGAGGGGCCTGGCGTCCTGGCCCGCTCGGGCCTGTCCGGGCCCTGCGCCTTCCTTCCGGCCCCTGGGCAGCCTCGCACTGAGTTCCCGTCCCCTCCGCCAGTACGTGGTTATCCCCACGCGCCGCTCCACCGCCGAGGCCTTCCAGATTGTGCTGTCCCACCTGCTGGGGGACGCTGGGAGCCCCTACCTCATCGGCCTGGTGAGCACTGCCCCCTGCTGGGACGGGGTGGGATGTGGGCCCCTGCACTCCCAGTGCCAGCCTGGCATCGCCCTCTCACCCTCCCCTGGCCGCAAGGGGTTCTGTGCGCAGGTTTCTCCCCAGGCCCCGGGCCTCGCTCTGCTGCTCCGAACCCCTGCCCTTCCCCGGCTCGGTTTTCCTTTCTGGTTGGGGGCTCAGCCCGGCCCGCCCGGGTCCCTGACTCCCGGCTGCCTGCCCCGCAGCTCTCCGACCGCCTCCGCCGGCGCTGGCCCCCGTCCTTCCTGTCCGAGTTCCGGGCCCTGCAGTTCTCACTCATGCTCTGTGCCTTCGTCGGGGCGCTGGGCGGCGCCGCCTTCCTGGGCACCGCCGTCTTCATTGAGGGCGATCGCCGCCGCGCCCTGCTCCACGTGCACGGTCAGTCGCTCTCTGCCCCGGCACCACGCCGCCCGTTTCTCTGCATCCAGTGCTGCCCGGGCCGGCGCCTCGGCCCACAGCGCACCCCTCACGCAGCTTCCCGTCTGTCCGACCTACAAGCTGATGCTGGTCTGTGTCTGTGACTCTGTCGGCCCTGGCTGCCGTCCTACCTGTATCCCCGGCCTGCTTGTCCTGTCTGACTGTGCACGTGTCTGTCCCTCCAGCCTGGCTCTGACCCCTCCGCCCGCAGGTCTGCTGCCCGAGGCGGGGTCCACGGATGACCGGATCCTGGTGCCCCAGCGAGGCCGCTCCACGCGGGTCCCCGTGTCCAGTGTGCTCATCTGAGGCGTCACCACCTGTCCGCCGTCTGCTGCGGCTGGCCCTGGGTGCGCCCCTGAGGTGCCCCGGCAGAAACCCTGGGCTCGGCAGGTTCCCAGGAGCGAGCCTGGGCTGTGTCCTGGCTCCCAGACACTACATGGACAGCCCGGGCGATGGGGGCCTGGTGGGGGGTCCCCCACACTGGGGCAGCCCTGCAGGCTCGGTGCTATTTGTAACAGAATAAAATTTGTAGCCAGACCCCAAGTGCCTGCTTGAGTCTCTCTCTGGGTGTTAGTGACCTCTGCGTCTGGGCTGTAGGGGGTGGCCAGGGCTCCGGGCTCCTGGGGACTGAAGGGTCATGCATGGGGGTCCCTGTCTTCTGGTCTGGGTGGCCAGAGGGGGACTGCTCCCCTCGGAGTGAGCTGGCTCTGTGTGACTGAGTCACGCCCGTGCCCGTGCTCGGGGGTGAGGCAGGGCCCGCGGGAGGGCCGTCACTGACGAGAGGGACTCCCCCCACCCCCAGGAGGCACTGACCTGCAGTCCGGACCTTCTGGGGAGCCTAGGGCACCTCCTTGGGCCTCCCCACTTCCCAAGGTAGTGGGGGTGGCAGGGGGCGGTGCAGCTGGCTGAGGAGCCTGATGATTTCCTGCGCTCACCACAGCTTCCTGCCACAGAGGGGAGGCGGGCAAAGGGGAGGCGGGCAGGAACGAGGGGTAGGGACGCCTGGCGCAAGGACCTTGCAGAGGGTGGCTGGGGCGAAGGCCGCACGGCGGGTGGTCGGTGCCCCAGTCCCCAGCCCGGCCCTGGCCTCCCCACCCTGCGTCAGGGTCTCCTGGAACCAGCCCTGGCCCCCTGGCTGGGCTGAGGTCCCGGGCCCCGAGGGCGCTGTGGCCCCCACACTCTGCTGAAGGGGCCTACCCGGGCTCTCCTGCAGATGGAGGTGACCAGCGCGGTCCTCACAGAGCCCCTGGGCCTCCTGCTGCTGCCCCTGGTCGCCATGCTGCTGACGGTCCTGTGCGTGCGCTGCCGAGAGCTGCGAGGTGAGTCGGGGCCGCGGGCACCGACAGGGACCCTCTCCGGCTCCCAGCGGCTCGGTTGCCCTTAGCGCTGTCCCTGCCTCAGGGCCCCTGGGCTCGTAGCCCCTTCCCGCGTACCCAAGTCCCTGCCTCACTGACTGCCTCTCTCCCCAGCCTCCTACGGCGGTGCCAGCGAGGATCGGTGAGTCTGCCCCGCAGCCCGCGGGTCTCCCACTGTCCCCGAGGCGGGGCTGGGCGGCCCCTCCCAGCCCCGCACCCAAGCTGCGTCTCTCCTGCCAGGTCACAGACGGAGAGCAGCATCCTGTTCAAGCCTCGTGAGTGCGGAGGGTCTCCCGCCCTGAGCGGAGGGACTGACTCCCCCGCGTGGGAGCGCGTGTGCGGCCCGCGCCCGGGGCTGCCTGCATGTCCTTGACCTGAGCTGGGATGTGGGGGAGTGGGAGCCCTAGGTCTGGCCAGGGCATGGGTTTCAAGCGGTAGGTGTGCCCTTGGAGGCCTTGATGGTGCCTGGAGTCCGTCCTTCCGGCTTGGTTCTGTCCTCAGAAACGCTGGCCCCCTGGCCACCTTCAGTCCCGGTCCCTTACCCATCCGCGACCTACCCACCCCCCAGCCAGCCAGACCTGCTGCACATCCAGTGAGTTCCGCCCAGCCCGCCCCTCCCCCTCCCTCCTACTGCCTGCTCCCCCACTTTCTTGGGTTGGGGGCTTCCTGTTGCACCTCCACTTGCCCCAGGGCTCCCTCCCCAGATCCTTTCTTTTTTGTCTTTTTGAGACAGGGTCTCCGTATGCAGTTCAGGCTGGCCTTGAGCTCACTTTGTAGCCCAGGCTGGCCTCGAACTCGCAAAGATCCTCCTGCCTCAGCCTCCCGAGTGCTGGGATGACAGGCTTGCGCCACCACGCCAGCCCCCCACCACATCCTTGACCTTTGACTCCCCACAGGCGATCCCCACAGCCCCCCGGAGGTTCCCATAGGATGCCCTCTTCCCGGCAGGACTCGGATGGCGGTAAAGGCAGAGATGCGCCCAAAGGGCTGGGGCTGGGCGGAAGCGGGGCCCAGCCTGAGCTGACTCAGTCTCCCCCTCGCTCTCTCTCTCTCTCAAGCCAACAGTGTGGCGAGCTACGAGAACCAAGGTGCGTCGGGGACGGACGCCGGCCAGGCGGGGCGGGGAGCCTGGGGTCGGCCGGAGCCTGAACGCCCGCGTCTGTGTTCCCAGAGCCACCCTGCGAGGACGCGGATGAAGACGACGAGGAGGACGACTACCGCAACGAGGGCTACGGCGGCTACGTGTGAGTGGCCGGGGGGCAGGCGGGGGCGGGGCCGCCACCCTCGCTCACCCCGTTCCTTCCCTCCAGGGAGGTGCTTCCCGACAGCACCCCGGCCACCGGCGCGGGCGTCCCTTCGGCTCCTGTCCCCAGCAACCCGGGCCTCCGGGACAGCGCCTTCTCCAGTGAGTGGGCTGCTCCTCGCACTGCCTTCCCGCCGCGTGCCGCCCGCCCCTTCCCGCTTCCCCCTGTTTCTTTGATAATCACACTCCTTCCGTTTCCTCCTTCAGCTGTTCCTCCTTCCTGCGCTGATCTTCTGATTTTTCACATTTTTCGCCCTCGTTTCCTATCTGTCTTCCTTTTCGTCGGTTATCTGGGAGATTTCCTTGACTTACTCCTCAACCTTTCTGTTGAGATTTTGTTCCTCCTACCCAAAAGCTTTCTGGATCTGTAAATGTTCTTTTTGGTTTTGTTATTGCCGTGTTTCGAGCCTTGCTGTGTAGTTCAGCCTGGCTTTGAACTCGCTAAGTAGCCCAGGCTGGCTTTGAAGTCACAGTGATCCTCCTGCCTCAGCCTCCTGAGTGCTGGGGATCGCGGGCCTGTGCCACCACAACCGGCTTTCTGAATGTTCTTTTTGTGTAGCTTCCTGGCCTTGTTTCATGGAGGTGAGGTCATTTTGTCAATGTCAAAGGGTATTAACTAGAGGAGTTTTTTGTTTTCAAAGTTGTCTTCTGCTTCCTGCATGGTCTTCCTTTTCTTTGACTTGCTTTTCTTTCTTTGGTTTGTTCTCATCCCCTCTGGTCTCATCTCCTGGGCATTCCTCAGTATCTGATCTTCAGTTTTCTGTGACTCTCCTCCCCCTAGACGCTCCTTACTTGAAACAGTTGGGGCCAGAAGTGTTCCAGATTTTGGAAATTTTGTGTACCCATAGTGAAGTAGCTTACGGATGGGACTCAAGTCTAAACACAAGACTCATTTGTATGTCACAGAAACATTATACACCGTCTGGATGTCCTTCCATGTAATATTTTAAATAATTCTGTGCCTGAAACGCGCTTTGATTGTGTGGAATTTTCCATTTGCAGCAGCACACTGATACCCAAAAGGTTTGGGTTTTACAGCACTTTTTTTTTTTTTTTTTTTTGTCTTTTTGAGCAGGGTCTCCCTATGCAGTTCAGGCTGGCCTTGAGCTCACTTTGTAGCCCAGGCTGGTCTTGAATTCGCAATGATCCTCCTGCCTCAGCCTCCCAAGTGCTGGGATTACAGGCGTACACCACCACGCCCGGCTCTCCTAAGAGTTTTACGTGCTTAATTTAGTAAATCTCCCAATTCCCAGGTGCTCTGGTGCCCTCTCCTGCTCCTCTTGCCCCCTAGTTGTGCCCTTGTAGTGTGACAGGATTTATTTATGTATTGTTTTCATTTCTTTTCCTTGAGAAAGTCTTGCTATGTTGCCTATGCTGGCCTTGAACCCCTCGGTACGAGTAGTCCTCCTGCCTCAGCCTTTCGAGTAGCTGGGGCTACAGGCACGTGTCACCACCCAGCCCAGCTCAGGATTGATTGCGACGTGGGCCCTGTTCCTAACCGTTTTACAGACTGGAAAACAGGTGCAGAGAGGTTCAGGAACATGTCTGAGGTCACACAGTCACTTAGTGCTAGAGCCAGGATTTGACCTTGGGTTGTCAGGCTCCAAAGTCCACCTGGTCCATGTGTTCTTGGAGAAACGCGGCAGCACACCAAAGAACCAGGTGGCAGGGGGCGCTAAGTGCCCCAGGGAGACTGAGGAGTGTGTGGGCAGTGGCGGGCCATGTCGGGGAGCTCCCTGGGTGATCTTGCTGGGCTGAGTGCGTGGCTGTTCCTCCGCCTGTGCGGCTGAACTCTCCCCCACCGAGCTGCCACCTAGAGCCGTGCTGGCTGCGTGTCTGTTCCCTCTCACAGTGTCTGTGTGGGAACCCCTTCTGCCTGCCTCTGGGGCCCTTGTCCTCGCCCGCCACTGTCATTGTTTGCTCAGGCCGTGTCCGCGTTGACTGTTGGGAGTCTCGGGGTATCTCCCCTTGGGGCCCCGGTCCTCTGAGTTGGGGACCCGTGGGCGTCGGTGGCTGCGGGTCTCGGGACAGCGCGGGGCTGGGCTGAGTCCCGACGGCTTTCCCGCAGTGGAGTCCAGAGAGTACGTGAATGTCTCCGAGAGCGAGGAGAGCACGGAGGCGTCTCTGGGTGAGTGGCTGGCCCCGGGCCCGGGATCCCACGCTCCCACCCTCTGTGGGGCCTGCCTCCGGCATGGCCATTGTCCTCTGACCTGTCCCCCCAGATGGGAGCCTGGAGTATGTGAACGTGTCCCAGGAGCTGCATCCGGTGGCCGGGACAGAGCCTGGTGTGTAGCGGGGGGAGGCACGGGGCCAGGGCAACGCCTGGTGCGACGCCTGCGGGCTGACTACCAACTCCGCTCCCTCGCAGCCTCCCTGAGCTCCCCGGAGGTGGAGGATGAGGAAGAGGAGGAGGAAGTGCCGGATTATGAGAACGTTCAGGAACTTAGCTGAGCGCCTGGTGAGTGGCTTACCTCCAGGACGCTTCCTGAGCCACCCGCAGGCACGAGGCCTGTCGTCCTGGCTCCGGGCACCTGCTGGTCCCCACCAACCTCCTGCCCGCTCCCCTGTTGTGTTTCAGCCGAGGCCGCGCTGTCCTGGAACCAGCCGGGCTGGGGACGGAGCTGGCAGCTGCAAAAAGCCCCGGGGGCCTCGGTTGGTGCCCCATCCTAGCTGAAGCCCGGTAGCAGCCCACGAACCCCCTAACTTATTGTCACTTTGGGGTCCAGTCTGTGTCCCCAAAACTCCGCACCTTCTGACGCAGCCTGAGAGTGAACCTCCCCGGTCCCAGCCTCCTCTTGAGAATGGAATAAAGGCCGTTGTGGTCTGCAGAGCTCTTGGCTTCGGGACCTGGGTTGGGCCTGCAGGCCTCGTTCACTATGTTGAGTGTGTGTGGTGTGTGTGTGTGTGCGTGTGTATGTCTGTGTGTGTCCATCGTGCTCCCTGGAGGCCCTGGCCAAGTGCTGAGTGACAGCCGACAGTGACCGGGGCGCTGCTGCCTCCTGAGCGAGGCCCTGGGGCTCAGGACGTGTCTCACCTGCGTGAGGCTCCGGGTTCCGTCCTCGGCACTGAAAAACAGAGCTGGGGGTGATGCCGCGCTCGCCTGTGATCCCGGCACTCCAGAGTCTGAGGCAGCCCGTGGAAGCGCAGCCGCTGGCTGGATTGAGGGCAGAGCCGGGTGTGGCGAGTGGGCAGTGACAGCAAGACCCTTCCCTTTGGCCCCTTTCTGGTCTCGGAGGAGGGGCCTGGCCCTGAGCACCTCAGAGGGCTCTCTTAGTTCTTGCCTTCTGGTACCGGGACTCGAACTCAGGATCTTGTTCTTGCCAGGCGGGTGCTTGTGCTGCTGAGCCACGTCCCCTGCCCAGGTTCTGGCTTTCTGTGGCAGTCAGTAAGACAGCACCTAAAAATGGCCTAAGCGGCCAGGAGTACCTGTGCTCTCAACCGCTCTGGAGGCCTGTGGCAGAGAACCCCAGGCCGGGGCCAGCCTGAGAGTGAGGCTCCCTGGGCCCAGCCCTCCTCTTTAGAATGGCGTAAAGCCCAGGGTGATCTGCAGAGCTCTTGACCTGGATATTTGCATCCAAAAAAAAAAAGCTCTGGGCCACTGGAAACGCTTGGGTGCGGAGCAGTGGGCTCCAGGCGCAGCGCTCAGACGGCTGTGAGACCCTGCGTCTCGGGGGAGCTCGGCGTGGCTGCAGCACCCCCTGCTCCAAGAGCTGCGCCCTCCGTAGCCAGGGGTGGCTGTTCTGACCTGGCCCGGATCCGTTTCCTGCATCTGGGCTCTCCCCCCAGTCTCCTGGTACGCGCTGCCCTCCCGGCGTCCCTCCGTGTGGATCTGGACATGGTTGAACCAGCCCTGCACCTCAGGCGCTGAGGCCACGACCAGATCTGGACCCGGCCGGGGCCGTGTGACAGCTTGGGCACCTGGGCACATGCCCCTGGCCCGGCCGGGCTGTGAGCTGCAGCCCGGTGACTTGGGCAGGAAGTGCTGGAGAGGAGCCCTTTCGTCTGTGACTGTCACTCAGCTGGAAGGGTCATCCCGTCCTGGGGCCGCCTCTCGGGCAGCCACTTGAGGGTGAAGCCATTGGGATGGAGAGAGTGGCCCGGAGCCAGGCAGGGCCAGCGTCCGGACGGTGTCACCAGAGCTGGCTGTACCCACCGTGAGCAGGGCCCCGCCTCCCGCTGGCTTACTGGTTCCACGGGCCAATAAAGGACAGCTTGTCTGCAACTAGCGTGACTCGGAGTTTCTTTTGCTGAGACCAAGGCTGGCGCGTCTCTGGATGCCAGCAGTACTGAGACTGTCCCGTCAGCACTGGTGGCACTGCACGTGCTCACCGAATCGCCTGAGTGCTGATGTCACTGATGGTCAGAGACCCCGCTCACATGGGAAGAAACGGCTCAGAGAGGGGCGGCGACGGCCCAGAGGCACACAGCTGGAGACGCGAATCTGCCGTTGGGCCGGTGGTTTCCTGTCCTTGGCCTCCTTGTTCTGGTTTTTGTGCCAAGAGTTGGCTGTCCTGGGCAGGGAAGGGCAGATGGAGAAAACGGGCAGGAAGGGCTCGGGAAGGGGCTTGGGCCTGCCAGGCACGAGCAGGTGGAGTCACGTCCTTTTTTTGCGGGAGAGAGAAGGAGGCAGAGGCAGCTCTGCCTGGGCCCAGGGCCAAAGAACAGTTTGCCAACAAGGATGCTGCTACAGTGACCTCAGAGCGATCGAGCTAAGCTTCCAGTGTGCCTGGCTCACACCCGGCCTTGCTGGGGCTCAGCCTGCACCAGTCCTGGCACCGGCGAGGAGCGGGGGGAGGCAGCCAGGGTGTGCTGGGACGGCCACGGCTGGAGGCCCCCATCCCCGAGAGCAGACGCCCGGGAGCGGTGCGGCCTGAGGGGGCGCTCATCAGCAGGGAGGAGTCGGGCCGTCACAGAAGGCTGCACCGCGGGGAGAGGAACGGGCCACAAATTGAGCCCTGCTGCTAAAAACGTGGGCACCTTACCAGCTGAGTATCCCGTATCCAAAATGCTTGGGAACAGCTCGTTTGGGATTTCAGTTGTTTTGTTTTAAGACTTATCTCACAAGCTGGGTGTGGTGGCGCATGCCTGTCATCCCAGCTCGGGAGGCTGAGGCAGGAGGATTGTTGCGAGTTCTAGGCCAGCCTGGGCTACAAAGTGAGCTCAAGGCCAGCCTGAGCTGCATAGGGAGATCCTGTCTCAAAAAGACAAAAAAAAAAAAAAAGAAAGAAAGACTTATCTCACTAAATTACCCAGGTTGGCCTCAAACTCACAATCCTCTTGTCTCAGCCTTCTGAGTGCAGGCATGTAAGGCTCGTGGCCACCGCAAAAGGCCTGGCTTGGATTTCATCTTGGAGATGGGGTGCCCAGGCTGAAGCGTGAAATTCACTTATGTTTCGCAGACACCTTATACACCCACATGAAGGTAACATTAGACAGTCTTTGTAGTGTACCTGTGTTTTAACTGCATCCTGTCCCATAAGGTCGGGTGTATAATTTTCCTACATTTTTGTGACATCCTGTCAGCGGTCCATGTTTTGGCTTTTGGGAATATTTCAGACTTCAGAAACTTGGATCAGGGATGCTCAGTCTTTATCTGTTCTCTGGGGACACACGTGTAAGAGTGTCAAGTGTAGGAGTGGCAGAATCCAGGCAGCAGTAACCTTGGGGCGGAGGGAGAGGAATGGGCTGCGGCAGGAGCTCCCTGAAGGCCTCTGAGAAACGTGCGGTAAGGGGCTGGCATGCAGCCTGATGGCGGAGCACTTGCCTAACCTGCGCGCGGCTCCAGGTTCCATCCCCAGCACTGAAAAACAAACAAAGCTGGGGGTGCTGTTGCCCTCGCCTGTGATCGCAGCACTCGGGAGTCTGAGGCAGGAAGACTGCCATGAGTTTGAGGCCAGCCTGGGCTACATAACAAGACCCTACCTCAAAATTAACAACAACAAAAGCCAGGTGTGATGGTAATCCCAGCCCTGTGGGAGGCTGAGGCAGGAAAATGCAAGGTTGAGACCAGCTTGGGCAATTTAGCAATTTAGTGAGACCCTGTCTCAAATTAAAGGGCTGGGCATGTAGCTCAGTATGAAGGCCCTGAGTTCAATCCTCAGTATTGCCCCCCAAATAATATATATTTTAAGAAGTACAATGGCAGGAGGGAGCTCTATATGTATTTGTTTATTTTTAAAATTTTATTTATTTATTTATTTATTTTGGTACAGGGAATTGAACTCAGGACCTTGCACTTGCCAGGCAGGTGCTTATGCCACTGAGCTAAATCCCCGGCAATTTTGTGTTTCAAGAAGGGTCTCCCTATGTAGTTCAGACTGGTCTTGAACTCACTATGTAGTCCAGGCTGGCCTTGAACTTACAGCAACCCTCCTGCCTCAGCCTCTCAAATGGCTCCAAAATATCCACACCTAGATTTTTTTATTTTTTTGAGGCAGGCGTTGCTGTGTAGCCCAGTCTGGCCTCACACTCACAATGATCTGCCTGCCTCAGCCTCTGGAGTACTGGGATTACAGGTATGCACCACCACACCCGACTCTTCAAGTGTTTATATCTGAGTGATTTCATATTAACTGAGATCAATGCCCATGAGGGAATGGATGGGGGCAGAAGATGTGGCATAGTTACCTTTAGCAGAGAGTGAACAATAGGCTAGAAGTCACTGGTTGCTTTGTGCCAGCCAGGTGGCTGAGCTGTCTGTGGTACTCCAGGCCAGTTTAGGAATAGCACATGCAAAGGTCCTGAGGTGTATCTGAAGAAATAGAAGTGGCATGTTGTGACATGGTCAGATTTGTGTTTTAGCAAGTATCTCTGGCTTGATTAGTGCGAGGGCAGAGGGAAGTTAGAGCAGAGGCGGGAGATGGCCAGGAAGCTGTGGGAGTAATCCCTAGAGCAATAGTGCAGACAGAGGGGCAGGGCCACGGAGAGGGCAGAGATTAAAAGCTGTTTGTGCCGCACAATCCCGGGACCACAGGGATGGCCTGGCTTCGGGCTGGGAATTGCGGGGCCAGCTCGGGAGACTCCAGTCCTGGCCTTGGTGCAGGGTGGGGTGGTCCCAGAAGTGGAGAAAAAGTGTGTGCAGGGGGAGAAGCAGAGGGGGAGAGAGAAATCGCTGGCACTGGATACTTCTAGAAGCCACCAGCTTGATCGATTTGGGTTCTCCTAGAAGCAGCCCTTGAGGTGAGGGTCCTGGGGGGACTGTTTGTGTGGGAGGTGGAGAGTGGTGGTGGAGCGGCGGGGCATGAGGGGACACCTGGCAGGGGCACAGGGCACCTCGGCCGTGGTCCCTCCTGCCTCACCTTGCCCGGCTGGCCTCCCACCAGCATCGCCCGCCTTGCCTCAGCCTTGCTGTGGTGATGGAATAGAAGCCAAGAGGTTTGGATTTCTGTGGGACTCTGGGGACATTTGCGCATGCTGGACTGAAGTTTTAAAAAGCCTCTCTAAAAAAAAAAAAAAAAAAAATCTCATTCTGCCAGGCGTGGTGGCACATACCTGTAATCCCAGCACTTGGGAGGCTGAGGCAGGAGGATCATAGCGAGTTCGAGACCAG